ATTTACTGTTAAACCAACTCACTCACTCCCCCACACACACCTTACTGATTCATTCACTCAACCACACCCATGCACCTCACTTACCCACCCACTCAAATCAACTTTCTTTATTAGCATAATTGTTAGGATACAGTACCAAAGTATGTATTCAGTAGTATTCTGAAGCAGTATTCAGTATTCACTAATTTGTCTGTTCGAGAATGTGAGTGTGTAATTTGAAAATATGCTGTTTAATCAGTGTTTCATTTCCAAAGTTTATTTGAACATTATACATTGTAAAAGTTATTAACCATTTGTGTAAACTAAGTATTACTATGTAGGCATGAATGCAAGAGCAATTAATTATTCGCAGAGTGCACAATAACTTTAGGACTTGAAAAATAAGGTTAAGCACTTGGACTTGACTTTGGAATTGGTAATCCTTGACTTGGAACTTACTAAGGGCTTATCTGTCTTTACTTGGTATTGGACCAAGTAAAACCTCTATCATGGACCAAAGTGTTTTTTTTACAAACAAGTTTTAGCTTGATGGTGACATCACAATAAAAGCTTAGAGAGTGGGGAATCGAATTGTCCTTTAGGGGCCTTTAATGTTTATCTATTTATCAAATTTGTTGTAAATTTACGTATTGCATGTGGATAATTATTGTGGCAAAAACTAAACTAATTCATACCTATTCTATTCTGTGTATATATAACAAAATATGCTTCAGAAGCTTTTAACTGACACTGAACCTTACTTGATCTAACCATATTTTTTCATCTGAACAATTTTCTGGATATAAGTCTCATAGTATGAGAGAAGCCAAGCAACAGGAGGAAGAAGACTTTGTGAAAAATGTGCATTTAAGCTGCTTGTCAAGTTCTTGCTCTTACCTGTAGTGAGAAGACGCAGTGCAGGCAAAGTGCAACCATTACAATGGCCAGGAGCATGGCAGCCACATTGCGAAAGTCACTCAATGACTCCACCAGGGGAATGCTCCCCACCTGCCAGTCATAACAAAGCACGATGGGGGCAAGCAGCAACCAGGCATTAAATGACAGCAGGTAAGAATAGGTCAAAATCCTGTAGGAAGGGGGCAAAGAGAGGATGGTGAGGACAAGGAAAAATGGTGGATGGTTAGTTGAGAGAAATGATAGGGAAAAAAGTGAAAAATAAAGAAAAAAATTAGTAACGTACAGAGGATATTCATTACATTAATTGACATAGAAATGTAAATTATTGAAATCCAGTATTTATCTAAACCTTTAAGTGTCTGGCAGTTTACCTGATAAAAAAATAAATAGGTGGTCGTCTTATTATCTACTCACCACTATGCCGATGGAGTAAACACTTCTGGAGTTTCAGGGGTAAACTTTGTTGCCGCAGAATCCAATACAATCGAAGTCAATAGTGACCCCTTCCTCAGACGTAATAAAACAACAGAAAAAACATGTGCCACGTGGTGTCATCCAAGTGTCCGCAAGCCCCGACATTCACATTCGACTCGATACAAGGTAATTTCCCCATGTTATAAGCCTTCACGGACCGTGGTATAATTACATTGTGTAAATGACCTCTATTTGAGTCGAATATGAATGTTGAGGCTTGCGGACAATTGGATGACACCACATGAGCAGCATGGAGGAGGACTCACCATTGACTTCAATTGTACTGGATTCTGCTGCAGCAACGTTTATCTCTGAAACGGAAGTGTTTTGTGGACACAAAAACATCGAAAATTTTTGGGTCTCTATTTATATGTGTTCTATTCATACCGTTGAGGTTTTTTAAGTAATTTTAACAGTTTATTGGATGAAGTCTGAGCTATATGACTTGCAAGGAAACTGGGTTGGGTGTGGTCGGCTACAGTCCCTGGTCAGACAGGGTTTGTGTGCGTGCCTGTGTGTGCGGGTGTGTGTTCTGATTTTACATAATTACACACCTCATGAAGTGTGTAATTATGTTAAATAAAAATAGCCTATTAGAATCTGGTAATCTCTTATTTCAAATATTATCAATAGACAACAACTAACCAACCCTCTTGGTTCTTTTACAGCTACTCAAATGAAATGCAATCACACTCCCAAGACACTCATAACAGTTTTCCTGGATGGCAGAGAGATTTCCAAGCGGATTTACCAACTGAACACCATTGATGAAATTCTTTTGAATTGACTTGTAATGCAGAATGTGAACGATTTTTAATATTTAACACTGATTTTAAGGACTTTATTGACCATGGCATCGATGGCAATTTCAAGAACCTGGACGAGTGTCACATTTTTTTCAAGACAGTGAAGCCAAATGACCTACCGAAGCAGCTGGTATGTATGATTGATGAGAAACAACCTGGGTAGAACAATGCTCTCCCCAAACCAATCAAAATACAACTTAAATACTAAACACCCAAATGCTGTGTTATTTGGAGCATATGCTATCATCTCAGTGGACATCTAGATACAAATAGTTGTGTATGATCACATTATTAAGCTATATTATAGAGATAATGGATGACTGTGATACTGTTGTACAGTTGTGTACAGCACTTTGGTGACTGTGGAGAGAAAAACTCCCTCATTAACAGGAAGAAACCTCTAGCAGAACCAGGCTCGATGTGGGCGGTCATCTGCCTCGACCGCTTGGGGTGAGCAAAGAAAACGGGGGATGGAGAGGTGCCCAGTGGATGATGGGAGTTCCCCCAGCAGTCTAGACCTATAGCAGCATAACTAAGGGATGGTTCATGACTCACCTGATCCAGAACTAACTATAGGCTTTATCAAAAAGGAACGTTTTAAGTTTAACTTTAAATGCAGAAATGGTGTCTGCCTCCCGAACCCAGAGTGAGAGCTGGTTCCACAGGAGAGGAGCCTGGTAGCTGAATGCTCTACCTCCTGTTCTACTCTTACAGACTCTTGGAACCACAAGAGAGCCTGTGTTTTGTGAACGAAGTGATCTATTTGGATAATATGGTTGGGGGAATACTCGGCCCACTCCGGGTAAATACGGGAGGAGAGAATGGCGTTTCAGCAAAGTCTTTATTTCGTTACCAGCCTGTAACAGGCACACACATATACTTGGGGTCTCTGGACCCACACACGTCCATATGCACTTGTCTGTCCTGCTTCCGCATCAGTAGCCCAGCCTACTGCAAGAGAACAGAACCAGGTTACCAGCGTGCTCTTATTGATTGCCTGATTATCTGATTCTGCACAGCTGTCCGATCACCGGCTGAGTCACTCCTCCCTGTTGTCCAGCAGTTGGCACCCTAACCACACCCCACCATCACAATGGTGTTATCAGGTCTTTGATATATGAAGGGGCTTGATTGTTGAGGGATTTAAATGTGAGGAGCAGGATTTTTAAATCTATTCTGAATTTTACAGGGAGCCAATGTATAGAAGCTAAGACAGGAGTAATATGATCTCTCCTGTCAGCACTCTGCTACAGCATTTTGGACCAACTGGAGACTTTTTACCGAATTCCTGGGGCATCCTGATAATAAGGAATTACACTAATCTAGTCTAGAGTTAACAAATGCATGGACTAGTTTTTCAGCATCATTCTGAGACAGGATGTTTCTAATTTTGTTAATATTCTGCAGGTGGAAGAAAGCTGTCCTAAAGACTTGTTTTATGTGTGGGTCAAATGACATGTCCTGGTCAAACATAACTCCAAGGTTCCTCACAGTATACTTCTGTTTTCTGTTGGAAAAGCTCAGTTAAGAATGGAGATCTTGGTTTTGTGTACTTTCTTTTAATTTGTGTTCTAGCAGCACTTTTATGACCCAGTGTCCAAGTGGGTTTATTGAGATGAAACTGAGGAACCTACGGAGAATCCTTCAAGATGATTAGCAACACTATCATAAACTGGGAGAGATCTTGTGCAATCACACCAACTCCAGAGGGGGAAGAAGAGTCTGTCAAGGAGTGGATAACAGTCACCAAAAGAATGGGACCAGCTCCTGAGAACCTTGCATCTATCAGGATGGGCATGGAGAAAACCTTTAGCTACCGAAGGTTCTGGATAACAAGCAAATCCTCAACAGTTGCTGAACATTTTCAGCAGTACTCTTGCTTTGTGGACCTGCCATATTTGGTAAGTATACAGCACCTAAATAATTAGTTATTGTGATGTAATCAACTTAAAATAGATTTTGTGGACCCACATAATTGCTGTTGTTGTTTTTAATGCTGAAATTTGCTTCATTTTATTGTAGTCTTCTTAGATCTGAAACAGAAAAAGTAGCCATATACTCAGAACATAAATTTTCCTAAGAAACTGAGAAATACTTTGATGATCATCTCTATTAATATGTGGTAGAGAAGATGGATGAACATGAAATGATCAATGTAAAAGATGTAGCAGACATCAGACCACTAGACTTGTTATCTTCTTTCACTGGAAACACACTATATTTAAATCCAAGATACAAATGTATTGTTTAAAACTCCATTACCTTAGATATACCCAAGGCAACTACCAAATGGTGCTGCCTGTCTTATGATCCTGCAGATTTATGATGGTGTGGCCTAATGTCCCCTGCAGGTTAGAGCATTGTTTTTGAATTCTTAATTGAACTTCTGGGAATGTTCTCCATAAATAGTTTGTTCAGTTATATTTTTTAACCTGCTCTTAAAATTGAATAAGGCCATTGCCAAATGAGTTGTTGAAGTGTATTTATTGTACGTATTTTGGGTTTTACAGTTGCTAAATAGATTCATATTGCATTTGTTATTTTCATTCTACTGACTCAAATGTTACTGCACAAGTATTCCCCCATACTCCATAATCCAGTTTGAGGATAATTGTTTGAAGAGCTTTGGTTAGATTTTGTTAAGACAATGACAATCATTTTCTGCCACTCAGTTACGTCT